ATTTATTGAATAAAAATATCCCATTTATAGAACAAATTAACTTACAGAAAGATCCCCATGCACCCAAATCAATATATCTCTACTTTCATGCTAGCAATAATTAGGTTCACAATCAACAGGTTCATTTCAACCTAGTTCTCTTCTAATCACCAACACTTTTAAGCCCCCAGCATCTGTTCAACAAAATAACCAAGACCAAAGATTTTTTAAATTTTCTGCAAGTTAAAAAAAGAAATAAGAAATTTACTTTATGCCATTCCAGAAAAAGTAACTGTAAGCTATGGATGGTATGAGAAATCTAATCCTGCTTATAAAGATCTACATAATATATCCTCTGTCAATTTTAGGTAAACAGACACCCAAAAAGAAAAGGTGGCAGCACCAAGTTGACAAGCTGATACAACCAATTTTAAACCAGCGTCTTTACCAGTGTGCTGGTCAACCAGTTCAGTGGGTCATACCAATGACATAAATCAGGATTTATTTTGAACTTTGAAGAAAAAAAGAAGAAAGTTATGACACCTGCTGTATTCAAATAAGCAGCAACATAAAATTGCAAAAGATTTCAAAATTCCTCCAACACTTCTGCATAAACCACTACCTTCAAGTCAAACACCCATAAAGGACTCCTTTTCTTAACCCAGAAAGGGGAACAAAGAGATCCATAGATCCATGCATCAAAGAGTTACAAAGTGAGTACGTAACAAGGTAATAACTTTACCTTATACTCAAGTATATCGAATCCTTTGCATACAAACTCAAACAAGGTTTTCAGATTCTCAGGACTTGGTGCAGTGACAAAAATATTCGAATACCTATACATAAGAATTTGATTTTATCACCAAAAAAGTAAGTGTAAATGATAAAAGAAGCTACAAAAGATGAATAGAAACAAAAAAGCAAATTATATGTCCGTCAAAAGAAGTACCCTGCTGCAATAGCTCCAGCAATTGCTAGACCAAGAGCAGCTGACTTCCCACGACCACGAGCTGCAAGTAAAGCAACTGTGCTACGAAGCGTCTTGTCCAAAACTGAATCAAGAAATGTAATAACGGCTTTTCCCTAAATCGATTTCAAAAAGTGGCTTCTTAGTACTGAATGTTAGTGTCCACATAAGACTAACTAATACATGCATGTCAAGTTGAAAATATTACCTGGTCCAATGTACAGCATTTTTTAATCAGAGGACCGACAGGGAAATCATCAGTCAATTGTTCTTTCAAATTCTTTAGGTCTCGTTCAGCTTCAGAAAGCCCTTCAGAGTCCTTAGACCCCATCACAACCAAACAAACACAAAATCAATTAACAATCCAAGCAAACTGAAATACTTCACTGTCAATCAGAGTATACTTCTAACACCCAAGCGAAAAATGAATCCAGACAAAGCCATGTATCACAATGAACTTGATTGTTTTGAAAAATATGCTTACTACAAGATACATACAACTTCACCCATCAATTATCTGAAAAGGATGCAAGGAAGCAGGAAAAGAATGAAGCACGGCGCTTACCTCTCGAACTGGAACAGGTGTAACTGACTTCATATGCGAAGAAATTGGCAAGATATTCAATTCGTCATCCATAACCACACATGCTTTGCAAGATGCAAGAGAAAGTAAGAAGCGCTCATTAAATCGACCAGTGGCCTGAGAATGAGACTCAGTACGGAATCTTTCGTGGACATCCTGCAATCACAAAACCTCATTTAGTATTCAGCAACAAAATGGATAACATAAGTGGCCACAAATTAGTGATTTCTAAACCAAATCTTGATACCCCAAAAAAAATGCCCCCCTCAGCAAATATGATCTGAAATATAGCATCTATTGCATGAACTCTTTTCTGGTTAACTGATACCATACCATAACCATGGTGCAAAGGCTTGTAAGCGAGGATAGGGAGCGCAGCAGCAATACGATCAATCCACCACCTTCAACTGTTTCTATTGTTCTTGCAAGAAGATTTGGTGTCAAAGCCTCAAAATCCTGCAAGCATATTTCCACCCAAATGGAGATGGCAAGTCAGAAATCAAGTAGAAGTTTCACCATCTAATATGCAGATAAAAATGTAAGGACAGGAATAGATCCCGGACTCACCTGTAATATACACATGCCAAATGTATTTCCAAGAATCCTTTCAGAATCTTTATACAAGCAATATGTGATTCCTCCAGTTTCAACAAAAAGTGAAAAGGGATCAACTTTCTCCGGATCTAGAAGCCCCCTTTGCATCAGCTTCTTTATTTGCTTTGCACGTTTTTTCTTATGACTAGGAGAAACAGTCAATTTTAGCATCAAGATCAACAAACATTTGGCAAAAGCCACCTACAGACTAGCTCACAAATAATATATTCACTTCAATTGCATTAAAAATTGCTATACATCTTACGGACACTCAAGTACTAGATAATTCCAGAAACCAAATTGTTTTCCATATTAAAGAGATGCAAGATGGTTATAAAAAATTCTCAGAAACTACATCTTCAGGTCCAAAAATGGCACTTTCTTAACATCCACTCATCTAACTTCTTAGTCAGACTACAGAGGACGAGCAATGGAAAAATGTGCATGACTCCATCCATCATCTCATCAGTATGGGAGATTGCCATCCCCAAACACAGAATATAGAGCAACTACTCAACTGACTAAGTTCCAATTCGCTATTCACTCCTAGAAGCCCGTCCCCGCATATCCTAACCCAAGAAATGCCTAAGCTGGCTCCTAGTTTTAACATCATTTCTTTGATCCAAGCACAAATTCCAGGATTCACTCAATTATCAGATATGTAATGGACCCATCTTGAATACCATAGTAGCACCTTCATTAGACAGGAGTTGGTCCGCAAAAATATCTACCTTTACGGAATTAAGCATAGGCTACCATCTTTTCACCATAAGTTACGCTCTCATATTTTCAAAAACAATGAGCCGTAAATTGAGAAAAGAATCGATTGAAGCCATATAAAATGCAAAATACTTAATTCCTAACGCATTGGAATGAAAAATTCCAACTTTATCCAGACAACAAGAAACAATCAAAAACCAAAGAACTAGTAAAACCTGCTGAGTTCAAGTTTGTCTTTGTAACACCACAACACAGTTGGCCGCGTCTTCACCACAGCTTTACTCAACATGTAATGCAAATTCACAATCTATTTTCCAACACAGAAAGTCCACATTTCAATGAACAAACATTAAACTAGTAATTATCATACCAAAATTCCACGTTTTAATGCATAAAACTAATACAAATGCTTATGAACATCACCTGGTCACGAGATTTATCTCCAACGATGACGAACATGGACCGGTGGCGAGTTTTAACGCCGTTTTCTATCAGAGTTCTGATGCGTTCGTCGACTTTCTTCCTCATTTTCCCTCAATTCTGATTCTGATTTCTGAAGCTGGGAGAGAAGTATGCAAATGGGGACTCGTTTGGCTGAGAAGAAAATGAGAAAATGTTCAGTTGTAAAATTGCGGTTAGGGCTTTAGGATTAAACTTCTGAGGAGCAAGCAGAGGTTTAATAAGAACCGAGTTTCAGAGTTTGTACAAAAACCGGGTTTAACGGTTGCAAGTGGGTTGATAACACTAACCATCCCGGTCTGATTTAGGAACGGTGTTACCTTTACCTATGATATGTCCTTTATGCCCTTAATCATAAATTTATCACATTAGACCACAGACAAATTAACCCTATTATTTATCAAAATTATTGTTTTAATTTTTAAAATACTTTTTTTTGGGGAAAGGAAATATTAAAAAGTTGAATCAAGGATCTCAACTATAAATTAAGTTGGATTTTGGAGAATACTTTTTTGTCAATAATATTACTTAGCAACTTCTTATTATAATTATTATTTTAATCTTTCACATTATAGTGACTAGAGGTAAAGCACATGCCCAATATGTGTGCAATTTATAAATAAATTGTTTTTTTTTTTTTTTGAAATCCTATTCTATTACAAGGGATTTTGAAGAATGGAAAATTCTATTCTATTACAAAGGGAATACCTCCTGCTGCTCCTGTGATGCACCTACCTGCTGACCTGTCAAGTTGCGATAAAAAATTGCAATCCTGAAAGAGGTAGGAATGGAACTTCCAACCACTGGGAGAAATCATAGAGTTCAAACTGTTTAACCCACTATTCCTGCTTAATGAATTGTTTTATGAACTTACTTTACATACATTTTTTTATTACTAAACACAACTTTGATCTTTTAAGATTTTTTTCTTTAAGAGTATAATTATATTGATATGTTTATGTGTAATTGTATTGGTAACGCTTAGACAATTACAATAAAATTAGGTAGTCGTTAGGGTAAATTTTAGATTTTGAGATGGTAAAAATGAAAGTTTAAAAAGTGACAAAAAAAAATGTTTACACCAAAACTTAAACTTTCTACTTTATGTATAGTATAGATAATTTGAGAAAAGAAAAATGAATAGTCACCATGATATTTAAGATATTTTCATCATGTCATCATGAACACCAACAATTCTGATGAAAATTACATTTTCTCTATATAAGTGTGTTTCGACTAAATACTTTTTTTTCATTTAATTAAAATCCAAACCCTTGAGTTCAAGTGAATTTATATCACATTTCACTTCGACATTAGAAAATTCTCATATCTCGTTTAGAATAATTTGCGCAAAAGGAATAATTGGATGTTTCATTTCTCAAGAGCAAAATCTTTTATCATCTATTGTAGATATTCTTATTGATTTTCTTTTAAAATTAAAACAGAAAATAAATATATTTTTCATACAATGAGGAGAAAAACTGTACCTTAGCATGTATATACGTATAGGTATGGCATTTTACAAAAAAAAAAAATTTTTTGTTTTTAAAGTCAATACTAATTTGTAGAAATTCAATTTAAATATGTATTTGTAGGGTCTTAATAGGTAACTAACATCCTCATATTGTATGTTAAATAGTACATTAATTTGGTCCAACGGTTAAACCATCCCCTCGCAGCTCCTTTTCTTTCCGGTCAATCAAAAGAGGCAAGTTTGAAAACCTTGCTTAAACCCACTCCACTGTATGATGCAAAGCCCCAGCTCCATTGATTCCCAAATGGCTTCTTCCTCTGTCACCAATTTCTTTCCTTATATACACTCAAATTTCTGTAGGATTCCAAGAATTGGTTACCCCACTTCACAAATTTCACCTAGACCACTACTCTCACTCACCCCAACCCATTCAAGGAAATCACCCTGTTTTCGCCTCAAAACAGGCATTTCACCAAAACCCATCTCAAATGTTCCACTAAAAACCTTACCTTTACCAATCCAGAAGAATGCTTCAAGAATTTTCACTGAAAAGATTGTGACTGTACTGCTTGGATCATTTATTTTCATGGGTAGCTTAAGAGCTAGGCCTGTTGTGGCACTACCAAATGTTCAAGAAAGTAGTAAAAGTGAAACTTTTGAGGAAAAAGGAGAGGCTCGGATTGGGGAAGGTGAGGAGGATGAAGAGATGTATCTAAAGTTATTGGAGCAAAATCCAAGAGATGTTGAGTCTTTAAAGATAGTTGTGAATGTGAAGATGAAGAAAGGGAAGACGAAAGGGGCTGTAGAGTATGTTGAAAGGTTAATAAAGGTTCAGCCTAATGAAATGGAATGGAGGCTTTTGCAGGCTCTTTGTTATGAGAGGATGGGTCAGTTTAGTATGGCCAGGAGGTTGTTCAAGGATATTTTGAAGCAGAGGCCTCTTTTGCTCAGAGCTTTGCACGTATGATTTTTCTTACCTTTTTGTTTTTTTTTAATGTTCTGCTTCTTCTCTTTTGGAGATTTTCAAATGCTTTGGCTTAAAATTTGTAGCTATTAAGGCATGTATGGATATACATGTATTCTTTGCAGTTTAAATGTTTGTTATGCTCGGTTACTGAGTTTCTTGTTGGTGACATGCCTTGAAACATCTTTATCCTAAAGCTATTGTGTGCATCTGGATTATGCCCTCAGTTTATAAACTTGTACTTATCTAGAATGAGGCGACTTTAGGTCCCTTGAAACTTCAGACTTGGATGTGTCTGGCTATTGGGTTTTGCCGTCCTTTTAAATCCCAGGGGCCCCAATACCACTCTAATGTACCAAATTGTGAAAGAACAAAGGGTATTTACTGTGCTAATGGCTAGAAAGAGTACAAGTTTTACATATTTATAAGCACTATGGCAGCTAAGGGGATATTAGTGCTTAAGGACTTGTTTTTGTTTAGGATACTGTGGGAGACATGAAAGCTTATCTTATTTAGAGCTTTTTTCTGGAGTCTTCCTATTTCTCATAATCATGCTACTACCACTGTTACCTTATGTTCCCCAAGCAGCTTCTGTGAAGTTTCGAAAAACTGGAATGATTGATCAAGAGATGACAGAAAGACTCATAATAGTGATATGTGGTTTACTGGGAAAAGAGGAAAAGTATCTCGAATGGCCTTATCAAGAGTCCATTTTGTCAGATCACTTCCCATGCTAAAAACCTGTATTATGAAGTTTGAAGGAGCTCTTGGGTTTCTTGTTTCTTCTTGTTCTAGCAGTTCTTCTTGTGCCTTTTATCTTAGGGCTTTGGAAATGGTGTAATATTTGTATGGTGTAAAAGAATTCATTTTTTTCATTCTTCTGCAATTTGTTAGAATTTTATCCTTACAGTTGTGCATTTCATTTTTCCAGTTTGACAAGTCCGTGCTATGCATTATTGTTTATCTATTTCACAAGCTTTTGTCATTTCTGGCCTCCCCTCTAATGGACTTATTGGGTGCTCAAAAATGTAGAGACCTCAGTTCCTTTGGATGACGAAACAATCGCCCAATGTAACATAGTGTTGGTATATATGTCACATCTTTAGAGTTTAGACCATCGTGGGGTTAATAATTGTTTCTGTTTTGCATGCAAGTACTTAAATGTATATGATGTTATTACAGTCTGGTTTAGCACTTTTCCATTATAAGTAATAGGCATTTTGAATTATTCTCTCTAAACCAGCAACTGTCATATTCCCCCCTTGTTTCTGTCATATTTTCTTTTTCAACACATTGGTACCTTGCTTTCTCAGGAAAGTGGTAATTAAGCTTCTAACAAGTTGATGACAGAAACTCTTGCACAGTTTCTTTTAAGAGTAGCAAATCTGATGAATGGTGGCTCATTAGTAAAAAATATTTCTTAGGACAGACTGCATTTGTCAAACCAAAATAGTTCTGCTGGGTTAGGATTTTTTGTATCTGGCTCAAATATTAAGTTGTGGTTTTCTCTTGCTTTAGGGTTTAGCAATGGTGATGCACAAGAATCATGAAGGACCAGCTGTCTTTGAGATGCTGGACAGGGCTCTGGAATTGGCTCGTTCTGAGAAAAAAGTCAATGAGGAGAGGAACATAAGAATACTAACTGCACAGATGCATGTAGTAAAGGTATCCACTTGGACTTTCTTATACAAGAATTTGAAGCTGTTCAAAAATTAGGATCTAAATCTAATCAAGGAATAATGATGCATTCATGTTCTGGGTCATTATGCTGTGTATACATTCTTTAAAATGTATATCCACTTTAAGATCAGAACAATCATGTTTCAGGAAATAGCTAAAATCTACAACCAGAAAGAGAAAGTGTGTTTTTTTTTGGGGGGGGGGGGGGGAATCTACGTGATGCCCTTGTGATCAAAAGTCTAACATCTAATATGTTTTACTTCTGCAGGGGGAATTAGAGGAGGCCTTGGAAAAGTTTCAAGCTCTTATTAATGAGAACCCAAGTGATTTTCGCCCTTATCTTTGCCAAGTAAGTGTTTTTGTTTTTGGATTTTTTTCTATTTTGCTTTTTTGGCATTTCATCCTTTCACCTCTGCTTGATGAAACTTTCCCCTCCAATTATGTTTCAGAAAGGATATGAAAAGTTTTTTTTTCCTTTTTTTTTTTTTTTTTTCTTTTGGCTTTTTGGCTTTCATCCTTTCACTCCTGCTTGGTGAAACTTTGCCCACCAGTTATGTTTCAGAGGATATGAAAAGGACATGGTGCTAGTCTGCTATATGTATGACTGTAAATTCGCTTGTTTGACATTGTCAGTTTATAAAATTTTAGGAGCAAGCTGAAAGCTGCACAAAGTCACTCTTAAATAACAAAAAGCTACCGAGCCACAAGATTTATTTTTCAAATATTAGGTTCATGAGGGTGTTTTAAACTTTGGACTTTGGCATCTAAATGGACAAGGAAAAACATCAAGAAATTCTGGAGATGACATTGCTAGCTATTTATTAGTCTACCCTGAAACTACATAAAAGACAAGGAAAGAAACATCACATATTTGATTTTTTTAGGGAGGGTCAGGAGCAACAGGGAAGATTAATGATTTGGACTTTGGACATTACTTTGATGGGAAAAGTAAGGTGAATGGAACTAGGAATGCCATTCTCTTTTGTCCTTCCTAGAAATGAGTTAAAAAGGAGTAGGAGCATGGCTTCCCTAGGTGAAGTACTAATACATTGCTCTTCTTTTCTCCTCTTCCTGCTCTTTACCAAGCATAGCCTAAGTGGCACCCCTGGCTAGGTCCTAGAAGGAGAGACAACTGCAATTTAGCTATTGGCTTGGCTTACTAAAGTAGTTTTAAGACAGTGAAACAAATGTTGCACTTGCCAGATGTAGGAAATTATCGATCCCTTGGATACGTCTATGTGATTGTGTAGGTCTGTAGGATAAGCTCATGCTGAACACAACAACAAAGATCAACTTACCTCTCAGCATAAGCGCATGAGGCTCCTATCTTTACTAGATTTGTGCTTTTGATCTCTAATCTTCTCAATATAACTAAAGGCATATTGCTAAGAAGAAGGCAGTGGGATGGCTAGAATCCAGCACTAGGAGATTGGCCATCTTAAAGGGCAAAGGCCAATTGAAGTAGGTTTGTCTTGTGTATAAACTCATGTCTAATCTTTTGGGAAGCTAAATGTCACAAACATGTATTGAAAAAGGCTGTGTCGAACAGGACATTAGCTTCACATTATTTTGGTTCAGTGCTTTTGTGAATGTGTGTTGGTTCATGAGCACCATATGTCACGAGTTTGTTGACCATTTCCCTTGGCTGTTCTGGCAGGGTATAGTTTACAGCCTGCTTGACAAAGAGAAGGAAGCTCTAGAACAGTTTGAGATATATCAAAGTCTTGTACCTGAAGAATTTCCACAGAAAAAGTTCCTTGATGATGTGATTTTGTCAGCCAGAACAGAATCAAAGCAACAGCTTGGGAAGGAGTTGCAAAGCTGAATTATCATGGCAGACATGGCATTTGCAACTCTATCTTTCATACTAACCACTTACCAACTACTTGAATCTCAGCCAGCCGTAGCAAACCAGTTTTACAACATAATTGTACATGAAGGCGTGTACCTTGATGTTTCTGCCATGATTCTTAATGGATGAATCCAGCTTTTAGGTGCAATATTTTGTGATTCTTACAATTTTTTGTGATAAAAAAGGTTCATCGGGGTAACATGTCAAAATGAACAATTAATTAGTCACATTTGTTGATTTTCACTTTGATCAAGTCAGATTCACATGAAACTTTGTCTCCTTTTTCCTTCAAGACCATATGTATAACAAGAAAACCATATGAATTTGTTGGTTCTATGGTTTATACATCTCTTATAATGACAATAAATACATACCATATGTAATTTTGTCTATACTTATTTGATAAAAAATTGACACGTCTATATTATAACTCCTATCTCCAAGTAATCATTATGTAAATGTGAATGTAAATTTTGTTCTAAATTTTATACAATTACCAAGCCAAAAACTTATCCAAGTGACTAGTATAATTAATTTCATGAAAAAAATCATTGGCAGGCAACTACACCACAAGTATGCCTTATACACCATTTGTCTTAGTTTGTCTTAGTAATGTAGTATTTTTTTGGCCAAGTTTGTCTTCTTGGGTCCACTAATCCAGCACTTTCCAGCATTACCTACATTTGCCTAAACATTAGAAGATCACGATTCCAAAGTCCAAAACTCAAGTGCTCAACCCAAAATTTTCTAAGCTAAACTAACCGCTGGACCAACTACCAAAACCACCATGATTCTCAATCTTCATCTGGCGCCATTTGCAACGGTCATTCTCAACCGCCGGCCAACTTTCACCGGATTCAAGACTCCGTTCATCCAGCTTCGGCAATCCCCCCTTCAGTTCAGCTGGGAAAGAGCAAGCATCATCTCATTCTTCCCTGCTCCTCTAAACACTAGCAATACTGATAATTTCAAAGCTACTTCTACTGCAGAAGAAGAAGAAGAAGATGAAGAAGCTGTGAAAACAACGGAGCCAAGTGCTACTCCGGTGAGAATAGTGGCACTGGTCGGAGAAAACAGCGTCAGCCCTCTCAAGTCCTCGCCTTGGTTGGACGTCATGCTTCATACTGTGAGTTATATTTCTTTCTTTAAAGAGTTATCCATTGCTTTGAAATTGAAAAGAATCAAAGAATCGAGAACTGAATTTAAGGGCTATTTTAGATATTGTTTTGTTTTCTGGAATTTTTGGTGAAATGCATGTTCCTTGTGTCTGTTAAAAAACTATTCTTTTAGTGATGAATTATATCAACAGAAAAAGAAAACGTGAATTTGTCTTGAATTTTTTGACCATGAGAAATGATATTCTCTTCGAATTGTGAACTTTGAATATCTGAATGTTAGGCTTATTAGGCTCGTCTAGAGGTTGAAAGAGCTGGCTATGAAAAAGGCATAAAAATGTTGAAATTTTGGTTATGCAAATTATTCGGCTATCTTTCACCTTTGTATTTGATTGTGTTATGGGACTTCCATTTTTTGAGTTTAAGAGTATCAACAATCCTTGAAAGCACAGTTTTCTGACTTTTGACTTGTGTGGTTTAAGGTGTTTATAACATAGCTTGAACTACCTAGTTGAGCTGCTATTTCCATAATCTGTTTTGGAAATGCACTTCTTAGCCTTGATCTCGAGATTCTCTGTTGAAAACTCATGGAATCTTCGGCGTTTATAGAGTTGTTTCTGGAATGTATAATTGTCAAATTCCATTGAGTTTTTGCAAATGCTTCCAAATCCAATCTAGTCAAAAAATGTTTTTCATGCTTACAACACATTCTTAACCCTTTTTTAGGTTTTCTTTCTTCTCACATCAATCTCAGTTAGGAGACGAAGAAGTGCAATGCAAGAATATAGGCTAATGAACTGGGACAATGAGATTCTTCAAGTAATAATGCTTCATTCAGCTTATGTTTTTGACTTTTATGTATCCTTTCATGCCTATGCCATGAGATATTATTTTGTTCTAGAGACAAGCTATTGACTTAATTAGCCTTCTCTATATATGAGCAGACGTAGTAGTGGTCAACTTATCATGTTGCATTTTCTCCTTTTACCATGATTTTCTGGTACTATGACAATCGAAGCTTTATTCCTGTGTCGACGGTGTGTATTTGACATAAATGAGAGAGCCTTGACTCTATCATATCCTCCAGAAACTTGTGGTTCCTTGTCTCACAGTTGTAGACCTTTTCACTTATTTCTCTTCGACAGGCCAGAAGATTAAAATGGGTTGATGAAGCGTATGATATGCTGGTATTTAGTGACGGACTCCTCAAATCAACTGATAAAACCAAGGAAAATCTTCATTTGGGATTAAGGAATGCAGATATTTTACTGATTGTTGCTGTCACTAATCAAGAATCCATTGAATGGGTTCAAGCAAATAGTGTAAATGTTCCAAGCATCTTATGCTTTGAGTCCTCTCCAACGTTGAGGAACAAACTTGGAGGATCAATTGTAGAAACAAAATCCAATGGCTATATATTCAGTAAATTGACAGCAATTTCCCAATCAAAAAGAAAAACTGAATCAACCAAAATAGTCCAAAGTGTATCTGAGGCTTGGGACAGGCATAATTCGGATGATATCAGGTTCTGTTTGTTAGTTGTAATTAATGCTTGCATAAGACCGGTCCCAATATTGAAGAATCTAAGGGCAAAAGGTTTTTCCACCTTAAACTGCATGGTGAAAAATTGTGGCCCTCAGATACTAAACTGTTTATTGGATCCCAACTGCAGAAAAGCTCTCCAATGCTTGAATAAGTGCAGTCCTGTGGACCAGGTATGCAACTATAGATGTATTGCTTCATATGAGAGTCCATGTCTAGAAGAATTTTCTCTCTGCGTGTTGCAGAAGAACAACTGTTTGGAATTGGATGCCAAGATCCCTGAAAAACCTTCTGTGCCTCCAATGATAAAGTTCCGAGGGGACAATCTATCTCATGAAACAGCTGAGGATCTTTTTGTCGGTTGGTTGGGGAAATTGGACTGGAGTTGGCGAGTCATAGCAGGACAGAACCCAGCCTATGATCAGTTTCCATGCCAGTACCAACTGTTTTATAGAGGAAAGGCTAAAGGATCATTCTGGTATGAGCCAATATTTCAAGTAAGGACACTTGAGGGGAATTTGGTCTGGAGAAGGCGAAAATACCGAGTTAGAAGAGGAAAGGTTCCAGCAACATTTCACTTCAGTGTCTTGGACAATGGAGTGGTTTCAAATGAGTTCTGGACAATCGTGGACGTCTCTGATGATTTTAGCTGGGGTTTATTCCATTACCATGGAGCTGCTCGAGTTGCAGGACAATCGTATACTGGTGCCGTCCTTGTTAGCCCGGATGGCATGTATCCAGATGAGACACAGAGACAAAGGCTGTTTTCAGCATTAGATAGATGTGATATCAAAGAATGGGAGCTCTTCAATGTGGATAATTTGTCATGCCCAAATCCTCCTTTAGGCCTTCCAGAGGGTTCAAGACTGCATAGTAAGATTGAACCTGAAGACATGAAAGCATAATCAGTTGAGAGATTTGGTATTGAGGATTGCTAAACTAAACTGGTCATTAGACATAGTCATTGAGCTAATTGCCAAGGGGAGTTGATTCGGTGAAAAACATGCACCAAGATGAATTTTGTCCTTGGGGAAAATTGATGGTCAAATATGACCATTTGATGTAGCAAAATAGATGTAACATGATCTGATTCAATCCAGAATAAAGTGAGTTTCTCATAGTCTAAGCTAAAGGATCCATTTCCATGATCTAAAAAAGGCAGTTGAATTTTATACGTTTACTTGCAAATATGTGCTTCAGCTGGAAATCATCTCTGGCTATGTATAGAACGAAGGTGTTGACGTCAAAAAGAAAGATGCACCAGCCGGGAATCGAACCCGGGTCTGTACCGTGGCAGGGTACTATTCTACCACTAGACCACTGGTGCTGATTGGTTGGGTATGTTAAATTTTCTATTTTATATCTAAAGCCAGTCCTTATCATCCTGTAAGAAAATTTATTTAAAATTCCTTTTATACTTTTTGTCTTTTAAAAAAACTAACCACTGCATGGGAGAAAGGGAAAAAAAAAAAAGAGTTCCAAATAAACTATAAATTTTACATCCCTCAAGAATGTATAGGAATCTCTATACAGTTAAGAAAAAATGTATATTTCAAATGGACGAATGACCAGCTTTTTATATAAAACAAGTGATACTTGTTCCATCTGTCACTTACTAATATCATTGCTCGAATAGCATTCAAGACAGGTACAAGAATCTCTATATGGATAATAAGTATTTTAAAAGTTCAGAAATAAGTTTTCTGTTGGATTTGTCAGGCAACATGCACAAGCAAAACCGGCTACAGCCCATAGATTAATCTTTCTTCAAGTTTTCAATTGTCTTCTTGACAGGCAAAAAGTTTTCAAGTTTTGGTTAAGTGCATGAACTGATTCTTCAATTTGCTTTGGTGGGCTTCGCTTAGTGGAACAAGGACAGGCCTTCAATAACAAAAGGCAATTAGGATGAAACAACATGCAATTCATCAGCCCATAATTAGTGCAGTTAATCAAGAAAATCCACTTTGAGACATCTCAACCTGCTGCGATGATATGTTTGATTCTTGACCTGGAAAACATGTGGATCTAGTTCCAGACACTTGCCACAGGGGCACAGGGCTAATACTAATATCCAATCCAACTGGTGGCCTTAAATAGCCAAAGTCCCCCAACTGAGTTCCTCATAGAGAAACTTCATGCATCGGTCGAAACTGAAGGGCATTCAGGTTTCTTCACATCATAGATCTTGACAAGAAAAGTTCATGAAAATTTGAACAGATAAGATCCATCTTCTAACAACATGAGCATAATGGGTCATAATGGGCATATTAACAGAAATTGTGGAGGAGGAAATCAAGGCCAAACAAATACAGGATAAGGGTCAAAGGGGCATGTCTTAACTCACCCCACCATATCTAATCAAATTAGTAGCAGACCACAATTTCACAATACGCGTAAAACAACAATTAACCTCTTCAAGACAACACCAGCACTAAGTTACAGTACAAGTTGAAGTCCCTGGCATCATGGCCTGCACCAAACTACATAACGTATCAGATTTACGATAAAAGACTTGATTGTGAATTACAAGAATGAAAGTGAAACATATCCTTGATCTAATCACAAGGCTCATCTTTCCAGCAAAATTTCAGAAAGAAACAAATGGAGTTGCTCCCAAGTGAAAGATGATATGCAACTGCATCTGTTAATGGGAGATGAATAACTTGTCCTTCGAGGCAAGGCCAATCTTATACGCCACCCTTCTCGTGCATACTTCGGAAAAGTAGTCTACAATGACAACAGAAACCCAGCTTCAATCTAATCAGCCGCATTGAAAGAAAAATCAACAATATACTGTTTGCATATTACCACCAGAATCAACACACCTACGGTAACACAAAAATGGCCACACTAATTGGTTGTAAGAACTGACCTCATGAACACCATTCTCTGGCATTCTGGAACATTTGCAACCATGGGCTGGGCCCCTTCTTGTCCATACTCCAGTGCTTTGGATACCAGGGGAACTGCCACATCAAAAAACAGCGCTCTGGATGAGGCATCATGGCGAGATGCCTCCCATCTGGAGAGCAAATTGCTGCAACACCCAGGGGCGACCCATTCAGATTGAAAGGGTACACTTCTGTCGGCTTCCCATCATCATCACAATACCTCACTGGGGCCAACTTTGAGTTGAGAACAGAGTTCCACACACCTTCATCAGGGAAAAAAGCTCTTCCCTCACCATGAGCAGCCCATACACCCAATGTGCTACCCTCCATTCCTTTAAACATTATAGCAGGTGATTCTTCTATCCTCACACTTGTGAAGCGACACTCAAACCTCCCAGACTCATTGTGGATGAACCTTGGCTGTGAAGGGTCCCCATTAACACCCATAACACCTCCAACCCTGGGGCCAGGGACCCAGCCCAACAAAGCCATAAGCTGGCAGCCATTGCAAACTCCAAGACTGAAGGTGTCTGGTCGTTCATAGAACTCTTGAAATTGATCCAAAAGAGGCCTATTAAATCGAATAGATGCAGCCCAACCCTTTGCTGAATCAAGGACATCAGCATAACTAAAACCTCCAACGAACACAATCCCCCTGAAAGGGTGCAAAGAGATGGTTCCACTAAGGAGGTCGGACATTGTAATATCCCACGGTTCAAAGCCAGCAGCATAAAATGCAGCAGCCATTTCTCTGTCCCCATTGCTGCCTTCCTCTCTTATAACTGCTACCTTTGGTTTTGAAATGGCAGTCATATATTTCTCATCAGTATATGTAGGAGTGAATGACAAGTCCCAGGAAGGTACCTGGCGATATTTCAGGCCATCTTTCTCTGATTCTACACAGGAAGCCAATCTTTGAAACTTTTCAAGTTGAAAGCTGGTTTCTTCCCATATATCCCTCAGTGCTGAAGTTTCTTCATTCAAAAAAGTAACTCCATCAATCCTCACATCAACCACCGGTGACACAGTTACACTTCCAATAATCCCAGCAGAAATGCCTACATCAGATAGCTTTGCCATTACCATGTCCAAATGTTTCTTGCTGACCTCAAGGAGTAGTCCAAGCTCTTCTGCAAATAGTGTTTTGAACGGACTACCCTCCACCGAAGTCAAGTCCAAGGAAATTCCACAGTTCCCAGCAAATGCCATCTCAAGGGCACTTACAATCAACCCTCCATCGCTGATATCATGACCAGCAGAGATCAAATCCTCACTAAGAAGCTCCTGAACCCTATTGAATACTGTTTTGAGGTAAGGAACATCGTCAAGGTCAGGACACTCATTCCCAACCTGATCAAAAACTTGAGCAAGAGCAGATCCGCCTAGACGCCGCTTCCCCTTTGCCAAGTCGATGTGAAGCAGTATGCCATTGTCTCCGAGTTTTAAATCTGGGGTCACTGTTTTTGTTATGTCTGGACAAGTTACATAGGTGCTGATTACAAGATTTCCAGGAGCCTTGACAACTTCCCCTGATGCATGGGCTGCCATTGAGAGACTATCTTTTCCCCCATCAATTGCAATACCAAGTTCAATCATTGCCTCTGAAAGAGCCAAGGCAGCATCATACATTGCTGCTCCTTCCCCATCCATTTTAGCAGCATACATCCAATTTCCACTTGCTTTGACATCAGCGAGGGAAGTGACCTTTGCCCAAACTAGATTAGTAAGTGCTTCTCCAACTGCCAGTCGTGCCATTGCCTTTGGATCCAAAAGCCCTTTGATTGGTTGCTCCCCAATGGAGCATGCACCTCCTGTCAAGTCAGTGTAGCTTTGAGCAATAACAGCAACATCAGAAAGTGTAATTTGCAGGGGACCTACAGTTTGCTGCTGTGCCACAAGACCTGTGACACACCTATCAACTTTCGTAGTCAAGAATCGTTTCGAACATACCGAGGGCAGCCTTAACACTCTCTTCAGAGAATCCTTTAAGGTTATCCCTGGTGCAATATCAATTGGCTCGCGCACATTAACTGTGTGATGGAACTCAAAGGTTTTCTGTGGCATATCACCAAGCACTTTCTCAAGTTCAAGGTCCTCAGCTGGTGGTGGAGGCGGCAATCCCTTTGAAATGCATCTCTCAACAGCCAAACTGTCTATTAAGACAACACATCCCTCACCACTAATTGTTCCAATAACAGCCATAGAGACTCTTTCCCTTTCACAGATAGCCTGCAGCAGGCTGCGGCTTTCAGGCTTCACCAATATTGCATCTTGCTCCTGATACTCTGCACCCCAAATTTCCAAGACAGACATGGTGTTATCTCCAACTACAATTGCTCTTATATCAATTTTAGCACCCTTTGGATATATTATTTCCTTGACAACATTACAGTTTCCACCAGCACCCTGATCATGGATACTTATGATGGGGTTCTTCTCTCCCATCTCGATGCATGCGCGGACCACACGATATAACTTCTGAGCCATCTCTGCATCTCCACGTTGTACAGCATTAAAGTCAAGTTCAGCGTCATTCTGACCACTGACCATGCTGGATGCAGCACCCCCTCCCATTCCTATACGATATGCTGGGCCTCCAATCTTGACAACTAACATGCCAACTTCAGGCTCACCCTTTGTAACGTGGATGTGATCTATTTGTCCAATACCTCCGCTGAACATAATTGGTTTCAACCATTCACGCCTTTCCCCACTTGGGAGTCTCATTCCAAAAGTCCTTGTGTAACCTTGAATTAAGGGTTCCCCAAATTTGTTCCCATAGTCTGATGCACCATTACTAGCATCAATGAGAATCTGCAATGGAGAAGCCAAGTTAAGTGGGTAAGTGAATGATGGATCTTCCCATGGGGCATATGACCCTTCAATATTGAGATTTCCAACACAGTATCCAGCAGTAGATGCGACAACAAAAGAACCCTTCCCAGTTGCATGGGTGTCCCTAATGCGTCCTCCAGCTCCAGTTTCAGCCCCGGGATATGGTGCCACAGCGCAAGGAAAATTATGGGTCTCAGCAGTAAACAAGATATCAAGGTCATGTTCGCTCATGTTTAAGGAGCATGTGGAACCAGGTTGAACTGGCCGCAACTGTTTCACGGGAAACCCTTGGATTGCACTAGAGTTATCCTTGAAGCCAATGACGGAATTGTTAGGGTTTGCCCGCAAAGTACTCTTGACAATCTGCATGAGAGTCCTGTCCATTGGTTTACCATCTATAACAATTTTCCCAGTAAAAAACCAATGTCTGCTGTGTTCGCTGTTGGACTGTGCAATATCAAACAGCTCAACATTGGTTGGGTTCCTCTTAATATCATGCCTGAAAAGCTTGGTGTAGTATTGTAGATCTTGTTCATCAAATGCCAAACCCATTTGCTCGTTGATTTCTTCCAGTGCCTTCCTTCCTTTCTCCATGACTGGTATATGTCTGACCTCCTCTGGAACTACATTTGTCTCAAAGGAAGTAAGCTTTTGTGCATAAACACATTCAGTCATCCGATCATGCACCATTGCAGCAAACTCAATAATTTGACCGTCCGGCAGAGAACCGCTACCAGGCTTAACATACAACAAGTACCTCCTCGATCGCTCCATTCTATTTATCTCTGTCAACCCACAAGCTCGGCAGATTGACACAGCATTTGCCGACCATGCTGTGGTAAAAGACAGCCTAGGTCCAACTTCAACTAAGATTGCATTAGAGCTATTCTTCACCTCTTTATCAAGAAAACTTTGAGCCCCCAGATTTTCAGGCTCATATGTTTCTCCTAACACCCATTGAAGCACTGAGAGCTTCTCACTAGAAAGCCTGGAATCGAGCCCGACATTGAAACAGTGCTCAGTTTTCAATCCAATTATTTGGTTTGATATTTTGGTCTGAATCGTTTTCAGAAGCTCACATGTGGCACTCTCTTGAATCAAAGGTACACGATAAAAATGAATAACCTTTTCGTGCCCTATCCCCTCAACCTCACTTCGTTTTTCATCAACTGAGCTACCCACATTTCCTGAAACCACAGCTCTAACCTTTACTGGCAAATGGGATCTTAACCTAATACCCTTGTCATAATTTTTTCTCAAATGACTCTTTCCTTGGACTGTACCCCAAAGCAATCGATTCGTCCACCTTGGTGGATGTTTAGGCAAGATTAATTTTTGCCTACACGAACCCTGTAATAGTGATCAGACAAAAACCGAAAAATAATCAATACCGTCCATTTTCCAAGTACTCTCGCATAATAAAATAAGTATTTCACTATTGGAAAAAGTAAAAAGAAAGAAATATGAAGAAAATGCATACGTGCAGAAACTCTGATGCTGTAATATCCCAAGCAGAAGCAGCCATGAACTCAATCTGCAACAAATGAGATAAATAAACATGCATAAGCAAAAGAATGCACAACTATTCAGCGGGGGCCAGGTAACAACCATCAAAAAACAAATCTTGTAACCATCAAAATTTTTATCAAACCTCTGTAAATAGTATAATAAAAAAACTAAAACATGGAAAAAGACTCATTTAAATTTTAAAAAAAAAAAAAAAAAAACCTCTACCAAAGGTTCCATCACAAACCAGCAAGTCAGACCAAAAAAATTATACCTTTCAGATTAAGAGACAAAGGCAGCTATTGTTGTACTTTGTAATGGCGGGTTCAAGAGGTGGCGATGGTGGCCACTGGATTTGCCGAGGGGTGGTGGCGGGAGGAGGCCAGTCTGGCCAGTGAGTTTGCCGCCGTTGAGGAGTGAATTTGCCGCCGAGAGACTTTCCAGCTGTTTATATGGCTAGGGCTTTAAGGACACTAGTGGAAAACTGCGGCTGGTGACGGACTTATTAATCATGTGCTACTAACGACTCTAACTAAAAACGGACAAGGATCCTTTTTCTAATATAATTCCAGCAAGTGACACAATTAAATAAAAGCAAGAGTTATATTATTCCTAAAATAATGGGATAATTTCAAAACCTCCCAGGAGGTTTCTGATAATTTCATTGAGTTCTCCTAAAGTTTGAAAAATTATACATATCTCCCTTATTATTTAAAATGGTAATTTTACCCTTTAAATATTTTAATGAAATTCCCTTATTTGGCATGCTTATACTTAGAATGAGTTTTAAAATTATTTTTTATTATTTTTCCTTCTTATTCTTTTTTTTAAAATTTTTATCCAATAAAACTATAGAACTACCACTATTACCTCTAGTTCTTATTATAACCAAATGTTGAACTAGTGATTTTTTTGACAAATTAATTTTATATGTAATCCAATATTTTGCTGATCTTTGTTTTCTATGTTTTAGTATTAAAATTAACAATAAATCAAAAAAATTGCCCAAAACTATTATTAAATTATGATAATCTCACTACTCGAAAAATTCATATATTCTAAATAAATTGTTTCAACATTTTCTATTCTATCTTATAAATCTAAATCCATAATAAAATACCATCAAAAATACCATATCATAGTAATAAAATTATTATTATAGTTGTTTATCAAATAGTAGATATGGACATGAAAAATTTGGCACCTTTGCCTTATAATTATACTAAATAATCTTATAATTGTATAAAAAATAAATTAAAACTCGTAATACAAGGGCTGATTCCTCCAATTATTGTTTGAAAAAAAAATTACCACGATAACGTTCTGATAGAGTTCTAGTATAAAACTATACCTGCTGAGCAAGCAAGAAAATTTTTTTTTTAATAAATGTTTGGCAACTGGGCTGGTTCAGCCGGCAGCCATTGGAATATCGGCCAAAAAGCTACCTGACTGTTAGGCCGACAACTTGCAGCTTCTTTTAAAAAAAAAAAAAAAAAAAAAACTTCAGCCCGGCAGCCATGATAAATTTCCAAAAAATCTGGCGGCCATCAAAAGTGAGAAAAAGGGTCTACATGGCCCCAATGTATAGCATACAACCGAATACAAATATTCATCCTTTTTTTTTGTGGGAAACTCAAATGCAGATGCAAATGCAGGTTGTAACATGTTAGTAGTGGGACAGAGTAGTACTGTGGCGGTCAGTAGCTTCTTCTTCTTTTTTTTTTTTTCTTTTTTTGGGTAATACTTGTCCCACTAATACTACTTATAGATTCTGAAAAAAATTTAAAAACCTTTTTGATTTTTATATTAAAAATTAAATGAAAAGGTTGTAGGAACAGGTGAAAATGCAGTGGGACGGAAGTGGAGAGGAAGGTGAGTGCATGCATGAGTGTGAGAGTCAGAAGACGAGAAGGAGGTCGGAGGTGGTGGAAAAAAGATAAAGGTAAGAATGGAGAGAGAGATATAAGGAGATTATATTGAACAAAAGAAGGGAAATGAGTATATTGGTGTAGCAGTAGACCAGTAGTAATGTATCTTCTCTCATTCTTCACGTCCCTCAGCACCCTTATCTTCTTCTCTCGTCACTCTTTTTTTTTTTTTCTTACCATTTCAAAGCTGCTGCTGCTGCTGCTGCTACTACTACTACTACTGCTGCTGATGAGGAAAATTCCACTCAAAAAAAGGCTGCCGGGCTAACTTGAAGTTTCAAAAAAAAAAAAACTGCAACCGGCCAGGCGTTTTTGAAATTTATCATGGCTAAGCCCGGCAGTCTTAAATTTTTTTTTTTTTTAAAAAGAGCTTTTTTGCAGATTTCCCAGTGACTGCTAGGTTGAACCAGCCCCGCTGCCAAAACATTTATTAAAGAAAAAAAAATTCTCTTGCTTGCCGGGCTGTGTCAGCCTTGCAGGCATAGTTTTGTACCAGAACTCTGTCAGAATGTTATTGTTGCGATTTTTTTTTTCGAACAATAATCAGAGGAATTAGCCTAATACAAGGACATTTAAAAAATTGACCAAATCAATATTATTTTAAGATTTTATTACTAAAACTATCAAATTAAGGGAGGTAAGTGTAATTTTTTAAACCTTATGAGAGCTCAATGAAATTGTTAGAAATCTCAGGGGAGGTTTCTGAAATTATCCTTAAAATAATTAATCACTCCTGGCTCCATAAGCAAATTAGAATCATTTCTAATTGATTAGCTGAAATTTCGAGCAAGGTTCACTTCAAATTCCGCAATGTCCACTTCAATGTCTGGACTTAACAATGGATTTTGGTTGCTTGGATGGTGGATTATTTACGCAAATTTATTTGCTTGTATCGTGAATAATTTGTTTAACTACTATTTTTTTATTTCATATATATCACATTAAGAAAATATTATAGTATTCTTTTTCAAATAATTATTTCAAATAATTTAATATCCAAACATAATGAAACTACAGCCTTGTTTTTGATTGATTATTTTATTTCAATTTGAAATAATCACACAATGAAATTATAGGTTTTGTTTTGATTGATTATTTTATTTTAATTTGGAATAACCACAGTGTTCTCATTTGGTTATATATTTTTTAATGACAAAAAAAGGATTAATATCACTTTACCCATTAAACTATATCACTACTATAATTTTTAGCCCATAATGTTATCTTTTAATTACTTTACCTCATAGGTAATTCAACTCAATATGTTAATAATTTTTGGACAAAAATGCCCTTTTATTTTATAGCATTACCATATTATTATTATCACTTTATCCTTTTAAATTATAGTAATACAATTGCTTTACTCCTTTACATTTTTTAGACATTTTACCCCATCGTTAATCTAACTGGCATGTTCAAAAAATTTTAAATGTATTTACCCTTTTTATATATAATTTAAAATTTTGGAATGGTTATTCTTCCTTTTTTTCACTCTAAGAGTTTCAAAAACATAAAATAAAAGGATTTTCTCAAATTTCTTTTTTCACACTTATTAATACTAGGAAAAGAAAAAGAGATAGAAGAAATGGAGACAGAGAATTAGATTTTACAAATAAAGAAATTAAGGAAGAATCTAATATTATCGTATTACTTTAACATCGTCGAAATTAGAATTGGAATTGGGTGGTAAATAAAAAAGTAAAATAATTTTAAAATAACAAAAATATTGAATTCTTCCTTATTTTGTATTTAAAAGAAAAAAGAATTGAGCTCACACACTCTCTCTCCCTCCCCCTATCTTTCTATTTTTTTCAATATTAATAAGACTGCCAAGAAAAAAGAGATTAATGTTTTGACTTTTTTTCTTAATACTAAAAAGAAGAAGAGAAACTCTAAGTTTTTTATTGTTTTTATTACACAAAGAGAAGGGTAATTTCTTCTAAAGTTTTTTAACTTACTAAATTGGTTTAATGGTGGAATGAATTGTCTAAAAAATAACCCTAGAAGGTAAATTGATAATGAGACCATAGTTTATGGAGGTAAAGTGATAATAATTTTAAGAGTTAAACATATATTTTAACTTAAATTAATAAACTCCATTAGCTTTGATCATTAATTTTGGGGGTAAAACGATTAAAAATAACATCAAGAAAAAAATTGATACTGACACCAAACATTGAAAAAATAAAGTGATAATAACCCTAAAAAAAATTAATCGATCAGAGAATAGTCTTTGCTCGTATAAGCATTTCTATTTTAGGAGAGTTGTAGAAAATACAAGTCTTTTTTTGGTGGATTACACTTATGTATATCTAGAAAAGTTCCATCAACAATAAATGCATATAGATGAAACTCTTACAATATTGAGTTTATTGAAAAAACAAAAGGAACAACTTTTTTAAGGGAGGCTTTTCTACTCTTTTCTTCGATTGCTTTCTTCCTTGAAGCTCAATTTTTCTACTTCACGACCTAGTGTTATTAGAAATTAAATATATATACAACAAAAATGAAAATGCTTCTTTACTCTTCTAGTCATAACTATAGATATCACCACTAACTGCTGTTTATAGAATTATTCGATGGCTAACATTCCCTACAGCATTTGATAATAAATTGATGAAGTGTTTGGCCTACCGCTATACTTGGTTGATTTACATAATTTCATTGCTATCCTTAAAAGTGATTGAATTAGAGTTTTTAGATAGCTTAACCTCTTAAGGAACAACTCAGCTTCAAAATAGATAGGGAAGCTCGATAGGCACCAATAAAGGTTCGAGGACTTCCTATATGTTTTAGTACAGGAGGACTATTTGTGCAATTTACCCCAAAAAAGAGGGGGAAAAAAGAAAAACAAAGAATTGCGGGAAGAAAACAAACTAGACAAAATTAAATTATACAAAATAACATCATCTGTTGTCCTCTTCAAGTATACTCGGGTGTGCTTTCCAAAAGCTTTTTTCAATTATATTGCAGTGTTCAACAACAATTTTCTTGCGAAACTTCTCAACCACTTCGTCATTGCTCAGTAAGGTCTTACTCTCCTGCACATCCAGTACAAAATATAAATAAATAAATACATACATAATGATACAGACAAAGGAAATTATCTAATAATCAATACAACTAAAAATTTATCTTTGTCAAGGCACCAAGAAAGTTCATACTAATGGTCAGTCTAAAGCATGTCAACAAAGTACTTTATCTGGTTAAAAATCACAGGAATACAGACAAATGTATGCACAGAGAGAGAGAGAGAGAGACCTTGTCCCAGAAGACAGAGGACCCCTGGCGGAACATGGTTGGTAATGTGTTGTAATCAATGCCAAATTGGCAGCTGAGCAGCCCATTTTTCTCTTGAGTTTGAGTACCCTGGATATTAAAAGCATTTGTATGAAAAGTGACGAAGTACAATTATACACATAACGTCTTATCTAAACCAATAAAACATGAGTAGTTGAAATATATTATTTGGTAGTTGCTTGATACTGATGGAAATTGCAACTAGCAACAGTTCCTAATCACTGGATTTTATCTTTTCCTGCTCTTCCACGCTTGTTTCATTTTAGTCTTTTCTATCTTTTGCTCTCCATTCTCTCAACTGGCAGCAGTGGGTCGAGTGGTTGCACAGGAATGAGTTAGTTCATCATGTTTGTTTTAACTAACATGAATATAGCAACATTGTTCCATGGGAGAGAGTTGCCATTATTTCTTCTATAAGATTTCTTCACTCTGAGCCACATTTATTAAACATGAACAAAATTCCACTTCAAATATATCCCTAGATCAAATCAGTCAAATCAGACCTGAATGCAATAAGGTTTAGTGTAGCCTATAATATTTCCTTCCAGCATTTTGGCATTCCAATTAATGTTCCATTTTGAAACTTTATTTCTGTGCCATGCATGAGGTCTTGTCAATTTTCTCCACTCCTGCGTGGAGACCAATTTCCACCGTTAAACAAATTATAAAAAGCTAGAACCCAACTGGTTTTAACCCAACAAGTATAAGCAACCAATGGACAAAAATTTAACTAAGTGCTGGCACGAGATAGCCTTGAGACTCATGAACATGCCTAAAAGCACTCACTGACGTCCATGGATACATAAGATTAAAATTCCAGTAACTCTGATCTTGGCATGCCAACTTAGAATTGATAAGAACAAAAAAGCATGATGCCAAAGCAATGGAAAAGGCAAAGGAACAAACTTAAGGATGCAGAAAGCAATTGAATAAGACAGATGCCAATAAGTCAGCTTTCGCCCAAAGAATCACATTTTGTAACAGATAACAAATTTTCAAAAGCTCAATACCTTTAAACAGTTTTGGGCTTCACTTTTGCTCTTGCCAGACTTGACAAGCATCCAAAAGCAAGTGTTATACTGATTATTGATGTGGCCTGCAAGACATCAATGGGGATGACTAATAGCCTTTGTAAGCATTTCGGATACAATAATGAAAAATCTCTTTACAAGACACACTCGATTACTTTACTGCTTTCTGGATAAGCAGAACGACCTTACATATTCTTAACTTTCAGAAGAATTAGAAGAGAAAAACACTCACAATCAACTTGTCTCCATGCCAGATAATCTTGAAGGATGTCGATGGATGGATAACAAACAGCTCGTCCATCAAAATATGGTGGGTATTTCATTTCTTTTTGTGCAAAGTACAACTTCCATTTCATAACATACACTGAAGAGAAGAAAGATACAATTGCAGACACTATTTCACTGCAAAGTAGTTACAAGAGAAGTCAACATCTAAGAAGCTCAAATCGATACACTGCAAAAAAATTAAATAACAACATTAATTCCTGCCACACAATTATGGTGGAGGTCGCCGAACAAGGACCTTGAACCGTTCTAAAATTTTACTACTAGTTTGTTTGGGCCATCTAGCTAATAAAATAGGTTAGAATTTTCTCTAATTATAGAATAAGAAGCGCCCTGAACCCTTTTTCCTTTCAGGACCCAAATAGAATTTAAAAAATGTTTTAAAAAAAAAAAGGAATACATATCTTCTCTATCCATGCCAAGTCCCTTCAGGGCCTAGTTCGCTTATTCATAGCGGATTTGAAACCAACTACACCATCAGCAAGAAATCAAATATATTTAAGCACAGAAAACTATAGCTTTCCGAAGATCAGCACAAATCAACTTCAAAAATGGCGTTCCAAGTTATCACCCACCAGGGATCATCACATCAGATTAGCTTACCTCAACCACCAATCTGAGGAAAGGCAGGAAGAATTTGCATGAATTGGGATCATTGCATGTAAAGACCATAGAACTGACACGAAAAATTTATCAACTGAGTATGGGAGAGATACCTTGCATGCCTTTCATAGAAGCACGAGTTCTTCTTTAGAACAAAGCTGTCACAAAGTCATAATTTAAAATATCAAAAAATGGCAAAGTCTAGATCAGCAAATAGAACAGCTAGGAGCAAATTAGTACCTGTACTCATCACTCACCCCATAAGAGAAGACAACATCATTAAACTCCTCCACCACAGCCACTGCACATGAATTCATAAGATTCAGGGCATGCTCATCATTTGGCTTCTCAAATTCATGAACTTCGGAAAATCTATAATGAAAGCAGAAAAAGGAAGCTATAGGTTACTTGAAAATAACCTTCATGCACTAAAAGCTCATAGCCAGGCTACCATTTAAAATGACAATAACCTGCAAAATAAAAATAAGGCAACCCCTAGGGAACAAGGTTCATTCCTAATTTCCCGGAAACATCTTAATCATTCTGAATATACCATCGCATCTTAATAAATACATCTTTTAATTTATCGAGAACTAAATACCATACACTTGAAGTGATAATATTCTGATACCACCAGATGGTAAGAGTGATTGGGCCTTGGCTGCCCATGAAAGATCAGCCGACTTGGGCCCCGATCAGGCCAATAAAAATGAAATAAAGGATAATGGAAGTGAAAAGCAACAGGAGACTTAGCCCCGAAAGAGTTGACAGGAGATTATTTTATCAGTGCTCTAACAGATTGTTCTGCTTCTGATTCCTTGCTCTCTAATCACCCTAAGAGAACATTCCAGAAATTTAAATAGAAAAAACTCTCCATCTCTCAGAAAAATTACAAACTCTCTGTTCAAGAAATCCGTTTAAGCAAGTCTTAGCCATTACAGAAACAGAGATTTTGAAAAGCTGAGAAGGGGATTATTGAGTGAGTTAGATGCAAATAGTTCTGTCAACAAAAAATTCAAAAGGAAGCCTTAAGTAGTAGTTTTGCTGATATGCCTTTCATAGACTTGTGCTATGTTGTTTTTCAACTTAGTTGCTGGGTATTCCCCATGTACTTCATGTTCTCTCCCTTGCCCAAAAAAAATTTTACCCTTTAAGCTAAAAAGCAACACTGTTTTGTCATAATAAACTTCTAACACCAATGCAACATGAGTCAGAACAATACATAACAGCGGAGGAACTTTCCACACCAGGGAAAGGAAAAAAAAAATTACCAATCTCTGGAGGTTATACAGTCAGTCAGATGCTTTCATGAAAAAATGCCTACAATCATGTGTATCATTCAGAAGGAGAAAGCAAAATGAGTCTGGTGGACATTAGCATTTATCACATTTGAGGAAATGCACATAAACAATAAGTCCCACATCTTCAAGGGGATGGAAACTCAAAAAAAAGCTGTGCTTATCCAGTTCAAGCAACAAAGCATAAACAAAATAGCAGATACCTATGAAAATGGCAACCGTCAACACGAATGACAATCCAAGTAGATGGCATCAAATTATTCTCAAATTGGAATGATTTGATATACTCAGGATTGATTTTGCTAATGTCCCCTTCGAAATGCCCCAGCTCCTTACAAAGACATGGATGCACATTCCAGAAGCTTCTTCCTGCTACATTTTCTGAATGAGTTAGTGTTATCTTCTTCCTCAATCTTTTTACAGGAGCACCATTTTCCTTGTACTTCACAATATCCTCAACCTGCCAATCAAGTGGCACTTGGCTAAAAAGTCAAATATAAAAGATTTTTGACCTAACAACGGCAGTCGTAAAAAATTTCAGGTGCAAGAAGGAATGTGGGAAGGGAGGAACTGTGCACTAACGCAAGTGGCAAGGGGGAAAAGATGTTGAAGAAGTGGGATGAATAGAGAGTTAGAAGGTGGCCTAGGGATACCTCTGTCTTAAAAGCACATGATCCTTGACGAAAAATACTAGGAAGATCCTTGTAGTTAACTCCAAACTGTTGAAAAAGTATCTCGTTTTTCTCCTGTTTTTGAGTTCCCTGAAGAATACCAATAAAATAAAAAGGAATTAAACTGCTTCTACACCCACTTCTTCACCATAGAATGAAAGAAACACACACATGGCATTACGTGTGTTAGCAGGGAAAAAGAATCTTTTTAGATTGGAGAAAAATGAGGCTCACTCATTCTGTCCTCAGGTCTTACAGGTAAAGATATGACTTATAATGCACAATGTAAAAGGATAATCTGTTGTTTTCAGCCTAATCTTGCGGTTCCTTTGAACTTGTATGCATTCTTAATTTCCATAGACACTCTTTGCTTGCTAGGAAATCAATCCAATACTTTCCCATATAAGAATATTAGGATATTCTACTTAAGTCAGTCGGGTGAATACAACTATTAACAGTTTGAAGTTACAAGTTAAAGCTAAAATGCCGTATGGAAAATCATACAGTGAAAATGATATTCGAAGTAAGAGGTAAAAAGAAGGGATAAGCAGAAGGAAAACATCACAACTTCAATACTACATTTGGTTGCTTCATCTTGACAACAGTAGAACATCAAATTACACAAACATGTTTTATCACAAAGAAAATAGTTATGAATATATAATACTCCCCAGCCAAATATCAGTATCTACTGGTATATAAATTTGGTAATTATATTGATGCAAGATAAGTTTAGATATTCATCATGCGAGTGAATTAACAGGAATTAGAAAATGCTATCCATTAATTACTAGAGAGAGGCTCCATACCCTTATCAACTTTTAATTTTCTCAGACAACTACTATTTGATTATTAGTCCACCACAAACAATGCTTAGGTAGAAATTTGAAATAAAAGGATAATAGATAGAAAAATTCACTACAAGAATTAGCTCATAACCAGGAATCTCCCACCCGCAACTTAAATGACCAAATATCAAACCAAACATGCAGAATCTATCTGAAGTATTTAATACATAAGACTTAATAATGAAAAGTAAATAAAAGTAATCAACACAAATTATTTTTTCTTTTTCATAATTTTGTGCCACCACCTCCAACATTTCCTTTGCTTCCTTTTGAGACTTTCCGCATCCGATCAGCTTCCAGAAACAAGTATTAAATAGGTTTTCTAAATGACCTGCAAGACAATTGTCATAGTGGCAATTATTTACCAAAGGCCCTTTCCAGGTGTCAGAAGATTTACTGTTTATGCAATGTCTGACACCAGTTACATAGAAATGCAGTCAGACATACAATAATTATTTAAAAAAAATTAGCACTTTAACTTACAAGCCCTTTGTCTCCACAAGATATATGTTTGAAGAACTTCCATTGTTGCACAGCAGATAACTCGTGATTTGAATGAAGGATGGAACATCAAATCCTTCTGAAGAAAGAATTCCTTCCATTTGGTGATGTAAACAGATGTGAAGAAAGATACAACAAGGGAATTTATTTTGCTGCAAGGCCACAAAGTGAGCTAACAATGAATGGTTTCACCGTGGAGAAACATTACACAAATTTCGTTTTGCATCTCTACAAGACAATTTACATGGCCAGAACAATGAACAAAAACCTACGTATGCCAGTTCTATAGTTGCAGTGTAGCCAGACATGACTAAGGCCATTTAAGCTGGTCAGGCTACATTTCTAGATGGATCCGATCTTCATGAGGCTCTCAATTCCATATATGCATTTTATTATAGTTCTTTTCTTCATCACAAATAGATCACCTATTCTAAAAACATCTTACGAACTTTAGAGGTTAGAAAAGCATAGGCATTTTAATTCACATCCCATATTTAGCATTTTGCTTCTGGCATGAACTGGATATTCTCTATTATCTTCTTTATTTATGCATGTTAATATCTCTTGAACCTCCAAATACGCTAACTTTCATACAAGAACATAAAGAGATCATCAAACAAATCAAAAAATGCAAATAAAGAAATTTAGGTGATTGAGAGGCTACATGCGTTCATACCTGGCTCGCCTCTGGTAAAATTTGGTGTCTTTCTTGAATATGAAACTGCAAAAGAGGAAAGTAAAGTATAAAAGAGCCCAACCAATAGCAAGAGAAGAGAAACCAACTGGAAAATGGAGATGATGTACCTGTATTCATCACTAAATCCATATGCAAAGACTATATCTGGAAACTCCTCCAGAACCGCAAATGCACAGGCATTCATCAAATTCAGAGCTCTCTCATCATTTGGTTTTTCAAACTCATGCACTTCAGAAAATCTGATAAAAGCTTCGGGACTCAATCATTTAAGAGCCAAAAGATTAAAGAGGAAAAGAAAGCATTGGGCCTGTTCTCAATTACCTAATTTTTGTGAAAGAGCAAAATTAGAATTGAAAAGGCAGGTATGCTATAGTGTCTGATTACCGTGAAAAAAGCCAAAAGCTGAAAGCAAACGCAGTTCAGAACATGACATAACAAATCTTACAAAATCAGAAGCTAAAAGCAGGTCGAATGATGCAATTGAGAACAGGCCAATCAAATTCAAGGAGTACTAACACCCTTACACAAACAAAAACCTGTGATTTTATGCCTATGCATGCTAACATAGACACTTTTAGTCCCATGATAAATGTTGATCTATTGTGATCACTCAGATCATTAAAAAGAAAAAAAAAAACTCTCACCATTAACCATGCCTAATCACAGTTTAGACACGTTGCATCTAGAAAATGTTCAGAATGTCTGAAAATGCTAATCTTTTCCAGACACTGAAGTTGCAAAAAATCAGTAACCTCTTGCTGTGAGCAGATCCATTGTTAATTGTTTTTGGGGCACTGTCAGCAGATCTTATACACACCTATTCCATGCAAGAGCAAGCTTGTTCACCTCAACGGTAAGCTAACCACATCCCCTTGCATAATTGGTACTACAAACATTTACGCCAGAAACTAACACGTATATGTGATGACTAAAGTAGTGGGGTGAGACTTTTACCGGTTAAAATCACGGCCATCCACTCGGACAACAATGAGGTTTGGAAGCATGATTTCATCTTGAACTTCAAATGACTTCACATACTCATACTTGCTATTCGCCATATGAACTCGCTTGGGTTCAAGGTAATTGTATAGTTTCCTTCGTTTTTTAATCAATTCAGAACAGATATTCTTCTCTTTCGGAACAATTCATAAACACCTGGTGGGCAATGCTCAATCCTCCTCCTTCCCCCTCCCCAGGCTGTCTTTATTGAGAAACCAGGCAAGCCGTTAGAAGGTGGTTCGCTGAACTGTGTATCCTGCTCGTGGTGTGCAGCAGTGGTCTTGTGTAGGGTGACCGAGGAGTGCGGAAGCGAGAGGCTGCCGGAAATCGGCAGCAGTTCAGGGTAATCGGCAATTTTGTGTGATGAAAGGGATGGTTTTACGAGGGTTTTCGATTATATTAGTTAGTATTTAGTTATTACCTTAAACATATAATTTACAAATGTGTAAAATAAAATAATTTACTTTTTCTTTTTTCATTTGGGAGGGATCAGATTTCATTGGGAGGGAGATTTGAACTGGAAACCTTGAGACCTCAACCATAGTTACCGACCAAACCTTTCTGGACAAAATAATTTGCTTTCTATCAATGAATAATTTTAATTCATAATTATATTTTGTGAATTTCTAATGAGGTAAGTATAATCAAAATACGGATTCATTTTAAAAGAAAATGAATTTTGTATTCTCAAATTTCACGTTGCGAGATTGTCGATTACATGCATATACTGTTATTGGTATATAGCTTAAAGTTGCCATTAATTACAATTTTCACTTAATAATTCATTTGATATGATATTTGTTTACTATTTTATACATATCTTGCCTTCGGAAAATACAAAATAATGAAATATCAAGAAATTAAAATAACACTCATTTAGATTTTTTCAAAATAATCATCATGGTTTTCAATCAAAACATGACATGTGTGTATTTAATTACCTATATGCAAACTTCCACCACAAGAACTATATTTACTAGAAAATGAAAAATGGAATAATATGGAGAAGGTTAAAACAGGGTATTTCTTTTAAAGGCTACTAACAAATACTATGAGGTATCTTTTAGCCAAAAAGAGGGAAAGAAAATAAATAAATAAAAGTGAAGTATTTCAAAAGCTCAGCAGAAGCAATAGGAACTTGGATTTTTTTTTTTTCAAACTAAAATATATATATTTATTTATTTATTTAAATAAGATAGTCATTTAACTAGCCTTTTTTAAAAAAAAAAAATCCATTATTAGAAGTATTTCCTTAGCATGCTAATAGCACCAGAAAGACAATTGACTAGATAGTCATATAGGTTTTTTTTTTCCCCAAAAAAATATCTAGAAATCAAGAACTCCTAGATATTCCTAAGAATTGCAATTTACACAATATTTGGTGCCTAAATTTAGTAGCTCTTTGTTGATGGTCTATATTTTGCGTTAACCATAAATTTCTACACAAAACCATCAAGAACCTGTGAAATTACTCATTTTCCAGCCTGCATAGCCCTTCATTTCTTGCTAATTTCACGGTGTTACATTAGTTTACCTCCTCTCCCCACAATGCAGACACATCTTCTCCAACTTTCACCTATGCAGCTTGCTTTTCTATATCTGTCGCCTATGCATCTTTAACTGCAGATTTTTCTTGAACCACCACCATCATCATCAAAAATGGCCCATATGGCCTTAGCCAGAGCCCTGGGATGGGCCATTTTTGTGCTCCTGGTGACGGCAAATTTCGCCGAGTGCATCGGCGTGAACTGGGGTACTCAAGCAGCACAGCCTTTGGATCCTAGCATGGTGGTTCAAATGCTTCAAGACAACAAGATTCACAAGGTTAAATTGTTTGATTCAGATCATTGGACTGTGAAATTCTTTGCAGGGACTGGCATTGAAGTCATGCTTGGCATCCCTAATGACCAGTTGTCTAAGCTTTCTCATTACCGTAATGCCAAAGATTGGGTGAAACAAAATGTTTCCACACATATATATGATGGAGGTGTTGATATCAAGTGAGAAGCTTGCAAGCCTTTTTATTTACACCTTCTTGTACGTGCATTTTCGTTCTCATGTACATAGTTACCTCTTGTAAAAATCTTATTGCATTAGTTCAAAATACGCAAGATTTAGTCGAAAACCGTGATGCGTATAGAAATTTGTTTTAATCCTTTTCATGGTTTTCGTGAATCTATGCTACAGGCATGTTGCTGTTGGCAATGAGCCATTCTTGAAGAGCTACAATGGTTCCTTTACACACACCGTTTTTCCAGCATTAAAGAATGTTCAAAGGGCTCTTGATGAAGCTGGACTTGGAGACAAAATCAAAGCATCCATCCCACAAAATGCGGATGTCTATGACTCTGGTTCAGGGGGTCCATCAGAAGGAAATTTCCGCTCAGACGTTAGAGGCCTTATGATCGAAATAGTCAATTTTCTCAAGGAGAACAAATCCCCGTTTCTTGTGAACATCTACCCCTTTCTCAGCTTGTATGAAAATCCAGATTTCCCCATTGGATTCGCCTTTTTTGATGGTAACGCGCAACCCATCAGGGACCACAATGTCCAATATACCAACATGTTTGATGCAAATCTAGACACACTGGTATCGTCCTTAAGAAAAGCTGGGGCTCCTAATTTGGAGATAATTGTGGGAGAGATTGGTTGGCCTACAGATGGAGACGTTTATGGGAATGCCACTATGGCTAAAAAATTTTATGACGGCCTTTTCAAGAAATTGGTAGCTTCCAAGAAAGGAAGTCCGCTGCGTCCAGAACCTGTGGAGGTCTATCTCTTCAGTCTAACAGATGAGAATCTGAAAAGCATTGCCCCAGGTTATTTTGAGAGACACTGGGGGATTTTTCGCTACGATGGACAGCCTAAGTTTGCACTGGATTTTAGTGGCCAAGGGAACAACAAAATGCCGATTGGGGCGAAAAACGTTCGCTACTATCCTTCACAATGGTGTGTGTTTGCCGGTGCAAAAGACATGAATATGGTCATACCTAATCTAGACTATGCTTGTCAGCGAAGTGATTGCTCAGCCATGATAGCTGGAGGATCCTGTAGTAAATTGGACAAGAATAAGCACGTATCTTATGCGTTCAACATGTATTTTCAGATGAACAATCAAGACTTTGAAGCCTGTAATTTTCAAGGTATGGCCAAAATTATCGAAGGAAATGCCTCAACATCAGAATGTCTCTTCCCAATAGCAATTGAGAGTGCTGGAGGAAGACTCGAGAATGGGATAGGAGTGAGCATTCTTGTTGCAATTCTGATCTCCCTTGTATTTTTCTAGGATATACAATTCCGTTTCCTGGATCGGCATATTTTGTAATTCCAACACTGGATTTCAATATATTAGGTAGGTAGAACCCCAGATTGGCAAAAAGCTCTCAAAGAATAGCTGACAACCATACAACCATCCTAAATAAATATTGTAGAGACACCCCAAGATCATCTTATAAAGCAGAATTAAGTCTAGAAGAACTTTCTAACTCATGCATCCTAAAAGAGATGAGTTGGGAGCTTTACTCTTCATTAATTAGCTTTATCTTTCTCCGCAGATATTTGTTTTGTACGTTGTTCATGAGTAATCATGATTCAGTTCATGAAAAGCTATTAATTATTCAGACAACAACCTATTTCAAGAACAGAAAGAAGATAAGGACCAAGGTGCAATTAGAAATCAATGGTAGGTGGGTTCTGAAAGAAGGGAATAAAGGATAGTTTGACAGGCAAAGGGAGGGATACAACTTCTCTGTCAACGATATCAATTGCTTGGAGTTTTACTTAATAACTGTCTTATTTTTTTTCCTTCATTATTTAGAGTTTCTTAGAAAGTTTAGTCAAAATTACTTTGGGATTTCTAATCTGAGTTTTCTGATCGATCTAACATAGCTCAATCTCGTTTGGAGTTAGCTCAATCTTGTTGGGAGTTGGTTTAACTTTAGGATAAATTATCTTTTACCCCCTGTGATTTGCTACTTTACAATGTCATCCCTATAGTTTAAAATCTATATATATAATCCCCTTGTAATTTGTGTCAATGTGTCACGGTTAGCTTTTGCGTTAAAACTAATAATCAATAGTAAAAAGTCAAAGTCAAACTAATAAATTGACAAATTTACCACTTCATTATTTCTTTTTTTTTTTTTGCTCCAAACATAAAAAAGAAGAAATTGAAATAAAAAATAGATAAATAAGAACTAGAAAATACTAATTAAAGATTTGGTTTACAAACTTATAATGATATTTGTAGTAAAAAAAAAAGATTTGATATTTTTTGTTTTATATTTCCCTTCTATCTTTTTTGTTTCTTATTTATTTATTTTATTTCCCTTCCATCTCTTTTTGTATTTGGAGAAAATTAATATTTTGCAGGCCAGAGTATAGGTTTTTAAAATCATCTCTTCTCTTCCCAACAAAAAAAAAAGATAGAGAAAGAAAAGAAAACATGAAAAAGGAAAAAGTAGTAATTTATTAATTTGACTTTGACTTGTTACTCTTGGCTGTTAATTTTAATAGAAAAACTAACGGTGAGGCTGTAATTCAAATCATGAAGAGGTTATATATAGGTTTTTAAACTATACGCTACACACATACACACACACACACACACATATATATATATATATATATATATATAGGTTTTTAAACTATGGGCTTTTATGTAGCAAAGCACGAACGTACAGGAGTAAAAGGTAATTTACCCTTAACTTTATCAAGCTACCTTCTTTAAAGCGAGTAAGATCTATGGCCTGATGAAGTTATACAGCTTCTGCGCCATAAACTTTTTGTTTACATATAGATATACTACAAAAAGTATCTGAATAAGCGAAATAGAAAAGTATCATTAATAGCTAATTGTAGATGTTGTAATACATCAACAGCTTCAAGTTATATTTCCTGAGAATGCAGCCTTGAATGGGGTACGCAGAGTCCTAACAGATGCATAGCTTTGTGACATAAAAATATGTAGTTTTTTGCTAGGAAATTTTTCTTTTTTAATCCTATATCAAGAAATCAGACAAAATATTTTTGTATTCATATCTTGGCAGCCTTGTACATGTTAGCTATCCTCAAAGCTTCATTAGGCCATTGTTATAGTCAGTCCAATGTCACTGAGCCAAAAAGCTTCACATTTTTATGCCATTTTGCAGCTTCATATCATCCACCATGGATGCAGGATGCGTGTGGCCATCCTTCCCCAAGTGATACCTACATTACGTATTGCAAACTGTATCCCAAACAAAAGAAATGAACAAGACCATACCAAAAATATGGCTTGGTAAATTTTGTTGGAAAATCCACATGACAAGAACAGATTTCCCTTGTTGGGTAGAGGGTTTGGAGAATTTGAATCTAAATGCTGATTTAACCCCGCTAAGCAACTCATGGGCAATAGCAGATGAAATTTGAATGTTGCAATCACTTTATGGTAAAAAAACTCCTTACACCTAATGATCAGCTGTTGTGTATGCAATATTTGAATTGCTGAAATTCGAAAACCACGTTTGCAAATTCCTTGTCAAACTGTCCTGAATCGTAAGGCTTTTCTCATCTGCACAATAGGGGAAAAATTGGTGAGAACGCAGGGGGTTCATGCAGAATTAGTTGAAGGGACTTTGCATTTATTATCTGCTACATTTGGACGATAGTCGTGCTCTCTCTGAAAAAGAATGGTTTTAGCTTTTTGGTATATAAAAACGGAAAGGGAAAATGACCACTTTCATTCTTCACATTTCACCAAAATATTCTTTTTATCCCTCGCTTTTAAAACGAAACAAATTCGTTCCTGATATTTAAAAAACTGAGGCTATTACGTACATTCTGAAATCAATTTTCAATCTGAATCCAACCACCTAGCAACCCGGCCGCTTATAATTTTTGGGGATATAATTGGTAAATCACTTGATTAATTTAACTTGATATTCACGTGAAATTTAATGAATTCAAAAAGGAAAAACAAAAAATCATAACATAAAAAAGAAGGATTAATCTTTCATGCATTGTTATTATATATAGTGACGGATCTAGATATCTGCCACATCATTTCAATTTAATTTAAATACCAAACTTTGTATGCATGATATATTTCAAGACTTGCAAGTGTATATACTAATGGTGTATGAAAAAATTTACCCCAAAAAAATTCTACTATTCCAAGACAAAGAACAACCTTTTTATTTTATAATTTTTTTTTTTTTTAGTTCAATAAATGTCATGTGAATCCGATGGAGTTGACCGAATGATTTATCAATTATATCCCCAATATTTATTACTAGGTTATTGAATGGTTTGATTCAAATTGAAAGTTAGAGTTTAGGGATGTAATAGTTTCAATTTTTAAATATCAAAGATGAATTTGCTTCGTTTTAAAAGAGATGGATGAAAAAAATAATTTTATGAAATGTGATGTATGAAACGGGCCATTTTCCCGAAAAGGAAATAAAAAAAAAAAAAGAATGGTTCTTCAGAGGTTGGACGGTGGTTTACTCAGACGGAGGAGTTGACCTGGACCACGAAAAGATTAGGCAACTTCAGTAGTTTTAATCTAGAACTCTATACATTTTGTTTATAAATAAATATAATGTTTTCTTCACACGGGAAAGAGGAGTTGACTAATGTGGAGGCGAGAGAAAGCAAGAAACAGCTATCAAATCCTAGTAGCAGGTCAATCAAAGTAGATTTTGAGGTTTCCACCTCTTCATTTGCTATCAAGAAACCTGAATTGAAAGTTAAGAAATGGTCCAACCGAGGGATATGGCTATGTCTAGGTTCAATTATGCTTCGTTTGGTGCTGCATTACGTGATCTCGAATCCATTGAAAGATGGTTTCGTCGTGAGAGAGAGTATCTTGAGTATCGTGGCCTCTGGAAGATGAAGATGGAGCTGAAACTTCTGAGAACATATTATACCTGTGCCCGTGAGTGGGGCAGCAAGTATGGATTTTTGGAACATGAGCAAGATAAGCATGCAAGTCCGAGAGTTATCTTGATGACGATTGAAGATCTTGTTTGCAAAATTTCCAATGAAGCTCACTCCCTCTGTCTTGCATCAAATCACGATTATAGCCTGGTTTTGAACATGATATCTGGTTTTAGAACAACCATAAGGGCTATGAAACGACATGTTATAAAACTGTCATTCATGTTTTCAGCAAACTCTCTGGAATATCGACTCGTGAATATGATTCCTATCGTGATTACTAATTTTTCGAAAAATCTGATGGATCTTCTTTGCTGTGTCAATGATGAAGCTCTACGTCAACTAATTGATGCCCTTGTTGATAAGCTAAAGTTTTTCAACAATTTCATTCGCTTTACCAGGACGAAAAGGTGTTGACTTTATGCAATCCAAGGACTTGTATAGCCATGTTGAATTTGTTGCTGTCAAAGCAGCACAGCTGATCTTCATGTGGGGTTTTTATTTCAGAAATGATGGAGAACTGCTCGCTCAGGTGCAATTGGAAAAGACTCAGCTGCTTGAGAAGATTAAGCTTGTTGATCCTCACATTGGACAGATTTGTGTTCATCTCCTTACAGCTGCAAAATTATCAGGATCATCGACAATTCTGACTTCCAAGAAGAATGGGGATATAGCAGCAGAATTCATTGATTCTCTGCTATGTAAACTTTGGGGGCTATTTGATTATGATTCAAGCTTTATGATTTCTGCCAAGGACCAAATGCAAAGACTTTATGAAGGACTAAGATTCCTGAGAACCATTCTCCTTCAGCAGTACAAGGTCAAAGAGCTACTTGACAAAATACGGAATCACTTAAGACTTGTGGTCATTGATGCTGGAACAATAGTTTGCTCCATTTCTCGGAATGAATTGAAAGAAGGCTTGGCCAAGGAAAAGGATCTTCTGCTTTTTTATTTGTTGAAATTGATCAAGTATATTAAGTCAAGAGTTGCACAAGAGTACCTGTTAACATCATCATCTAGTTTTCCGACAACCAATGAGTTGGGTTTTTTGGATTCTTTCCAAGAGAAACTAGAGCAACTATCAAAGTGCGAGGCAGATTCAGTTGCTTTTCCGAAGGATTGCATCCATATATTTCTGGAAAATCTTCTAATCTTGAGATCTTTCCTGAATAATATTGTGCACCAGTGAAACCAGAACGCAAAACTTCAAACTCTTTGGAGTCGTGTTATGGAGGTGGCTTACAAGGCAGAGACTATAATTGACTTTGTGGCAGTAGGTGATAGACCTGATAGTTATCGGATGTCATTCGATACCATCAATGAAGACATCAACTTTATTAAAACTGAGGCCTTAGAGATCTATGACAGGATGCAGCCTGACATTGGAGGCCAGAAAACTACCAATTCTTATAGTCACATGCCATCACATGTTAGCACTCCTATACTCGATGAAGTTGTGGTGGGATTGGGTGATGAGGCAGAAACAGTTATTGAGAGACTTACAAGAGGAACAAGGTAGTTGGATGTTGTTCCAATCGTGGGTATGGCTGGACAAGGTAAGACAACATTGGCCAAAAGAGTATACAATGATCAGTTAATTATGTGCCACTTTCATGTTCGTGCATGGTGTTGTGTTTCACAAGGATATCGGAGGCTAAGTTTGTTATTAAAAATCTTAAGTGATATTATGGATAAGCTTCCTAGCCAATATTTACAGATGAATGAAGATGATTTGGCTGTAGTTAAGGGAAACAGGTATCTGATAGTTTTGGATGATATATGGGGCATTGAGGCATGGAATGGGATGGAAAGATCTTTCCCCAATGACGCCAATGGAAGTAGAGTTCTCTGTACAAGTCGCCTTCACAATTTGTCATCAGAATTTAAGCTAGATTGCAAACCTCACCCTCTTCGCCCACTCACTGATGAAGAGAGTTGGGCTTTACTACAGCATAAGTTGTTTGCCAAGAAAGCTTGTCCTCCACAACTGTGTGCTCTTGGGAAGCAAATAGCAGAGAGTTGTAAGGGGCTACTTCTTGCTGTTGTTGTTGTTGCTGGATTTCTTGCAACAATACAGCAATATCATTGGGAAGAAGTTGCAAGAAGTCTAAGTTCCAACGTTCTTTCTGACAATGAACTCTGCATGAACACATTTGAGTTGAGCTATAGACACTTACCTGATTATTTGAAGCCATGCTTTCTATATTTTGGTGCATTTCAGGAAGACGAAGAAATTCCTATCCAAAGGTTGGCATTGCTATGGATCTCCGAAGGATTTGTGCAGAAGACTGGGGTAAAGAGCTTAGAGGATGCAGCAAATGAGTACTTGATGGATCTCATTGATCAAAGTTTAGTAATGGTTAGCCAACAAAGATCTATTGATGGGGTGAAAACTTGCCAAATTCACGACTTGTTGCATGAATTTGTCATCAGGAAAGCCAAAGAAGAAAGTTTTTTTGCATATTTTACATGGGTATGATGAGCTTTACACTTTTACTGCACCATACAACCCATACAGGTTGGGTATCTATGCTGATGCAATGGCCTTTAAGAAGTCGAGGCTCTTCTGTCCTCATTTACGCTGTTTGCTCTTCTTTTCTAAGACTCTTTTTGCTCCTGAACAGAAGCATGATTTTTCATTCATGTTTCGGATATTTAAACTTCTCAAAGTGTTGGACTTAGGGGACTATGATCTTGGTCAGAAGTTTCCATTGGAGGTAGTATTGCTGGTTCACTTGAGATACTTGGTGATTTAATGTGGTGTAAAGTCCATCCCGTCTGCGATATGCAAACTCTCAAGGTAAGAAACTTTCAGTTGAAGGGAGCCACAACTAGTGTTGCGTTGCCAAACACATTCTGGATGATGAAGGAACTGAGACATCTAAGCATTGCAAGTACTCGTTGCTCCTTTGGTTTTATATTTCCCGCTGACGATCTTGAAAGATACCCAGATTTGTCTCAATTAGGCAGCTGTATCCTTGCAATCGATTGCTGCAATGGTCAAAGTTTTGCAAAGATACTGGGCAAAGTTACCAAACATTCATAGACTAAAATGCGTACGCACATCAAAAGAAGACATTCCCTTGTATTGCTATGACGAAATTGTACTGGACCATCTGAGCCGACTACAATCACTCCGCATGGCTCGATTTTGGGAATTTAAACTGGATTTCCCCGACAATTTGAGAAAATTGACTCTCTCAAGCAATAGGCAGCCGTGGAGTGAAATTTCAAAAATTGCAAAGCTGCCCAATCTAGAAGTGCTCAAATTACTTTATCATTCCTTTGTGGGAAAAGAATGGGAAATGACAGAAGGGGCATTCCCAAAGCTGAGATTCTTAAAACTGTAAGACTTGGAAATTGTGGGATGGACAGCCTCTGGCGATGATTTTCCCCCCCTTGAGAAGCTGGTTTTATGCAGTTGTCGGACGCTGGAAGAGGTCCCTTCTTGTTTAGGGGACATTCCAACTATTGAAATGATTGAGATCAGATCATGTCACAAGTCTGATGTGAATTCGATAAAGCAAATTCAAGAAGAACAAATGGACTTGGGAAATAAGGGTCTAAAGGTTGTAATTCATTAAGAAGATTGGGGTTGCAAATTTTCCTCAGGCCTGACATGAAGGAGAATCTATTTAATTCCTCACTTCACATGTTAACAGAGTTCAATGCTGGTAAATATGGATATTTGTTTATGCAGATAAGGTTTCCTTCCTCAATTAACTGCTTGTGTTCTTTGTATCAGTTCAGTAATGAGTTCTTCTTCTTTTTTTTGTCAAAGCAATTATTGGAATGTACCTATATTTTGGTTGGGCAACTTTTAATTTTAGTTATCAACATTTTTGAGATGTAATTTATTAAAATTATTCATTTTTCTTATTAGTGTTATGATTGAAATGCAATAACTCTATTTAAAAGACACCAGGGTAATTTAAGCATAACAAAAACTAAGATCAGATTACCAGGTTTGATGTGATAACAGAAATTCTAGTTAGGATAAACTTCAGAACATCTGCCGAGCAGAAAACATAGATTTGATTAAAACGAAGTACGACAACTAAGTTTTCTACCATGCTGAACGTTGATCTAGACTTCATGCAATTCAGCAAGAAAAAGCCTTTGTCACTCATAATCTAGACCTGGAGAACTCAAAGATATATATGGTTTACATGTCATAGTTATAAAGATCAACGAACCAAATTTAGTCAAGTAATACATGACCTGATCAATTTCTTATATTCTTGTTTCTGATTTTTTCTATCATTACTGAACTAAATTGAAGAGCATTATAGAACAATACTAACAGAACTAGGCAAGGAAAGGCACTGAATTGGGAGTGCGTGATAAGTTACTTGGCAATAGAGCTGCAAACGAATCGAACCGCTCGTAAGCGGCTCGAGTTCAGCTCGAGTCGAAATCGAGCTCAAACTCGAGCTTCAAATATTAAGCTCATTAGGCTCGCGAGCTCGAATATATATATAATATTTTTTATTTTTTTATTTTTAGTATATATATATTTTAGTTTAAGTATATATATATTTTTTATTTTCTTATTTTAATAGTAAAATTACATATATATATCCTTAATATTTTATTATTTATTAAAAAAATATTATTTTATTTATTTTTTAAAAAAATAAAATAATTTTTTTATTTTTTTCGAGCTCGAGCTCGGCTCGAATTGATTCGAATCGAGCTCAAGCTTTAAATTGCCGGCTCGTCGAACTCGAGTTCGAGTTCGAATTTGGTAAAATTTAGTCGAGACTCGGCTCGATTAGCCTAAATCTCGAATCGACTCAGCTCATTTGCAACCCTACTTGGCAACTTACATCCCAGATGGTTTGACAAAGCCACGCGAATATAAAACTGCATACAGAATATGTATTTTCTTGGAGATTCAACATGTCTTGATTAAGCATATAATCAGTATAAGATGTGATGAATACTGTTATGCATCACAGGAATGTTTAATCTTACGTGGGTTAAGCCTTGACACATTTTAAAACTAAAAAAGAAAGAAAGAGAGACAAGGGAACCTTAAACCTGAGAGTTAACATTTGACATGGAGCTGATTTTAAATTGAATTTGAGGCCACACATATCTTTTATCAACAATTGCAAATTGACTTTTGTTGAATTTGATAAACCTAATCCCAGAAGAACCCTCAAAAGCCGGCAACTCTTGAGGGCCTCCTAGGGACTTATCTACCCAACTAACCCAACCCCCAACCCCGATGTGGGATAGAGGCCACACATATCTGATAGGTGAAAAAGTACATAAACATCAGCATGAATGATTAGCCTATGCTATATGGCCCCAAATCCATTATAATCAGCATGTACACATCAAAGTGAAGCAATGGAACAACGTCTGCACAACAGAAATCATCAATGATATCAATGATGGCTTGAGAGCATGAGCCAGGCTTTGTGCGTATCCACTAAAATTAGGGATCTCAGCAGCTAGTATTTCGACAGGGAATGTGCAGGATGGAGTTGAAGGATCGTCTGAGACTATCTTACCATATCCGTTGTAATAACACGATTTGTTGGATACACTTTGAGATGCCTTCTAGAAGCCCATATTAAAGGCATACGAAAGCCTCTGCATGTATGTCAAATTGCTGCATGACCCTCCAAGATCCAATGTCGTACAATCTGTAGTGTCACATGCGTACTTTGCTTGATCATCAAAAACATTATAAGCAACTTTACCAATATCTTATGCGTATCGGTCATTGAAAATGCACCACCTTTTAGGCATATGTGTAATGTCTATAGCTGGTACTAGGTTGACATCGTGCCCAAGCCCCTGAAGATCAAAGTTGAACTTAGGCTGTCCATCAAATTTGTAGATACCCTAGTGTCACATGAAGGATCTGGCATTCTTGCTTATCTTATTTTCATCAGACAAATTATGGAGATAGACATCAATCGGACCAGGACGTCAAGGAGTTCCTTTCTTACTAGCTACAAATTTAGCCAAGCCCTGATAAAATCTCTGTGCATTTGGGATGTTTCCATCTTTTATTCCATCTGTTGGCCATCCAATTGCACCTATAATGATTGTCATGTTTGGACACCCCACTTTCTCTAATGCAACATCGAACATATCATGCATGACCTCTATGACATTTGAATAGGTTTTGTCCCCATCTTTGAACACTGAGGTAGAGTTGTTCTCAAGAAATGCAAATTCAGTGTCACCGTTAAACAAATCATTAACATTAAGGAGTGGGAAAATAACCACTCCAATTGGAGCATTGTAGCTCTGCAGAATCTGACATGACCTAGTAATGTTTGGCTCTAAATCTTTTCTGAAAGCAGCCTTCGATGGTTTCTTTACAGGGATGAGGACGTCAGTGAAATGATTCATTGTTGCTTTAATGTCATTTTTATTCATTAACTTAAGAGCTTGTTGCATCCAGTCCAATACCTGAATAGCTTCGAGATATGTTTGATTGAAAAATTTTGTCGATAATGGCATCGTCCCAACGCAAACATAGCTATAAAAAAAATCAAACAAAAGTTGACCAAAAATGAAAACATAATCAATGAGAAAGCTAAAAAAACAAAGGAGAAATTAAATTGTTAACCATTAAATTATACTCAAATTTATAACCAAAAATTCATCTAATAATATCTCTTTCAAGGTGTAACGGGAGTTATAAGGTACAACATTCGGATTATCTTGTGGCTAAGTAATGGCTCTTAGAGTCTTGCCTCACCGTCAGCAGGAAGGATTCTCCTATGTGATAGGAGCTCATTCATTCAACTATTGGGATAGCTAAGTGGTGGCTAAGATAGAGCGCTTATCCTAGTTCGCAGGCAGGTCTAAGGATCATATTCTAGGTCTGGAAATTGGGGGTTGGGAGTTTATAGAAAGAGGTAGGAGCTATTAAAAGAAAAACATACATGAAATGGACATTGGGATGCCTTACAATAATCTGAACCACCCACTCGTCCACATCAACCTTACGTTTCATCGTCTATGTCTATTGATTAGGCATTGTGATTTCCAGTCCAATGTTAGTCGCTGAAAAGGCTTCCAAGACATTGTCACTTGCACTGAAAAGCTTGACGTAATTGATCTTGTTTTGCATCAGCAAGTCAACCACCATGGATGGTATCATTCTTTGTGTTGCCAACCTTCCCCAATTCATACCTAAATAACCCTCTACATAAAGGGTCTCCAATGAAAGAAATGAAATTGACATATTAAGAGATTGAAGCCGTTCATCCCACTTTGATCCCACTTTTAATATCAATATGTGGAGTTCAATCTAGTTCCCCAAATGAGGAAGAAAATTCGAAAAAGTGATCATTGGCATAAATATGAAAAAATGTACCAAAAACGAGATGGTTTATCACAGGTTCTGTACAGGTAATCAATCAGGAAAACACGGAATGACAACCACTGAAATTGTATTGACAACTGTTGAAGGAAAAAGGTAAATTGAAAATAAGTGGTTCCCTTGTAGATTTGAACAACTAATACTACTTTTTTATTTGGCAATGTTTTCTAAATTAGGGAAAAAAGGTAAATTGAAAATAACGGTTCCCTAGTAGATTTTACCAACTAATACTACTTATTTGGCAATTGATGTTTTCTAAATTAGTAAATTCCCTAGAATCTGGTTTCTATTTAGCACTGAAATAGGATACAGATTACAGACATAACCACTCAAGGTCCTCAAGGATCCTCTAGCTTTTTTTTTTTTTTTTGTGATTTATTTTAGTGTAAGTGGAAGATCTTA